GGCCGCGGCGCCACGTCGGGCTTCGGTGCGGCTGGGCTGGGCTGACCGCGCGGAGCCGCCCCGGAGGCTTCGCTGCCGCCCTCCCGCGCATGGCTGCCGCTGGGCGGGGGGGGCCGGGGCGCCGGTGCGTGGCGCGGGCTGGCCGGCCGGCGGGCCGGTCCTGCGTCCTTGGACCCGGCAGCTGGGCTCCGGGCTGCGCCGTGGGAGCATATGCAGAGTGGGAGCCTGGATCGCGTCGCCCCCAAGGGCGCCTTGCGGGGAGCGTCTCTGGATCGCCCTCGTTCTCTCTCCGCTAGCCGGCCCCCAGCGCTGTGGTTGTGACTTTCATTCAGGCTTTGGCCTTACTGCCCCCTCCCCATGCCTGGGGCAGCCAGGGGGGTTGGAGGTGCTGAGAAGACTGGAGGAGTTGAGGAGTGGCCATGCAGATGTTAGCAAATTAATTGACACATGTTCTGAAGTGTGTGTGTGTGTGTTTAAAGTGCCCTCTCTCCCAAAGGTGCCCCTGCTCATAAAGAAGGGATGTATGAGCAGGGGAGGGGGCACTTGATTTCAGAAAGAAGAGATCCTCAGGAGCTCTGCCGCTCTTTCCAGCACATGCCATAGACTGTGGGTGGTGTGGCAGGTGGCCGACTGAGGGCCAGGCTGCAAAGGGAAGGTGTGCGCACTCCTGATGCTGCCTCTGCCTGGTGGCCGGCAAGGCAGGGGAGGTGGGCGCAGCTCGCTGCAGTCAGCACACCCAGCCAATTTCACTGCGCATTCCTGCAAGACTGAAGCGATCGTACCTGCTTTAGCCGTGGACAGGTCTTCAGTGGGATGGAAATGAGAGCAAGCAGTTCGTACAGCAGGGCTTCATGGGTGCATTCGGAGGGGTGGGAAGATGGCCGTGGCCTCTTGTGAGCCTTGCGCGCTGCCCCGGTAGTCCATGTGCTGATGTGCTGTCAAGTCATCTCCTACTTGGGGCAGCCCTGTGAGTGAAATGGCCTGTCAGTGACATCCTTGCTGTACTGAGTTCAAGGCTGGGCCTTCCTTCTTGGGTCACTCGATCTCTCTCTCGGTTGGTCTTCCTTTTCTTCTGTTGCCTTTGGCTTGCCCTGGCTTGACTGCCTTCTTCAGGGCGCCTTGCCTTCTCCTGTGGCTAGAGCTGGTAACAACTGACCGAATGAAATTCCTGGTCCAGTCCCACTGCGTCGTTAAAATAGCCAGCACTTCTTGGGATCTTGTGAAGCTGGGGATGAGTTTGCAAAACCATCTTCAGACTCACAATGGGAAAGATGGCAGGGAAGGCTCTTGGCCATCAGGGTCGTTCTTTCGCTGGCAGGAAGCTGCCTTCCTGCAGTCTGCTTGGGACATGTTGCAGTTGTGGCAAAGCAGCCGGTTGGATTCTGGGCTTCATCCTGTCCCAGCCTGTTTGGTGATGCTTTTTAGCTATGTGCTCCGTAGGGGCTTGCTTGGTGTGCCTCTTCTGCAGGTGTGTGGGGCCAGTATGAGACGGATTACCGTTTCCTGAGTTTCTAAAGGCTTAATAGTGCCTGTCCCCCATTTTCTTTACTGAATAATTATGGAGCTCTTAACGCAGCAACGTGCTGTATTAAAAAACTGCATTGCATCATATAGAAAAGCAAACGCTTTTTCTGATTTTTGCAATCAAAATAATGATTTTTGCATGGCTTACAGTTAAAGCTTTGCTGTTAAGAGTTGAACTGGGCAAGCAGTAACTGTCTCCTTTTTGTGTAAATGCTGTATCACGACACCCTCTCCCTGCTCCCGTTCCTCTCATTTTCTAATGCAAGCCAGCCTGAATACAAGAAAACAAATGTCAGTTTCAGTGCAAAAATCAAGCAGGGTCTCTCTCGCCTTCCGCATGCACCAGGCGCTATCGCTGGTAAGTGACTGCAGGACACGTGCATGCGCAGGGTGCCGTCCTGAGCGCACTTGCCTGAGAGTATGTCTTGCGGCGCTTAATGGGAGCTACCTCTGAGTAGCCATGATGGAAGTGCGCCGGTAGGGGGAGAGCTTAGGTTTCTTGCTCGCTTGGGCAGTGGCTTCCACACCGGTCCCTTCTCTCTGACCTTCACGCAAGTCTGTGGCTTCCCTGGGAGAGGTGGCCATGGCCGCATGCTTGGGGCAGAGCTCTGTGCAGCCTCAGGCTGGCTGGCTGGCTGGCTGGCTGTCAGAGCCCCTGTGCCCAGAGACCAGCCTGGAGAATGTGGGGTGGCATCGAAGGGAGCGCTGCTCTTCTTGGCTCGATATCAGTGGCTTCTTGGTATGCTTGGGGTAAACTGAGTTGCCACTCGGTTGCCCTTTTCAACGTGCTTGGGATGGGGGGTTGGCTTTATCAGTCACCCCATGAGGAAACCAGAATTTGTTCACTATACAGCAGTCACGGTGCTGCTGATGAGCATCCATGGAACATACTGCATGTGCTGAATGAAGCCTGGCGCGCCTTCCCAACGAAAGCAATCACTCCAGTTGATGCTACAAAAGCCTTTATTCTACACAGTACTACAATTTCGGTCATGTAAGCTAGGAAATTGTCCTCTCGTTCTAATTAAGTTCAACTTACGTGGTGTCTTTGTATCCTTCTGGGCCGTCCCTCTGGACGTGGGGCGTTGGGACCCCTCTCCCTGCATCTCAGTCAGTCTCGATTCTACTTGTCCCAGTCTGCTGGTGCGGCTGCGGAACAAGCATCCTTAACAGCTTCATTATCAGCTAAATTCCCATACTCCCAATCGCCACCTGGTGGGATTGTTTCTTCATCAACCCCCAAATGGTCTCTGGATGCTCTTCTGTTTTGACACCTCCCTGAATTTCCTTATCTCCTGTGCTTTCATTCCCATCATCTGTGCAGCTGGGGAGTGAAGCTTGTTCTGCTGGCACCAGAAATGCATCTTCACCAACCCTCTGGTTCTCATGGGAAGTTTCCTCTTCTTGTGCGCATGCCAAACACTCTTCTGAGTCCATGTGCACGACACAATTATTGGGGGAAAAATTACAGGCAGAGTTTGAAAAGGTCTGCAGATACCTGCATTCCTAGAATATTTACTCTCTGCAGCACCTGGAAGCTTTATTTCTGATGCTGTTTTCCCACTCCTACGCCCAGAATTAACACTGGTGTCAGAGGACATGACAGACCATGCCAGGTGGCTTAGTGTTATGTCTCAGCCCAGCCATTATGTTTTCCAACCAGAACGAAAGGTGACTATCAAGATCAATAATGGTTTGCTGAACTGAAAACAAAAGTTGTTTATGGATTAAGGTTACTCCCTCCTCAAACCTGGCTTCAGGGTGTATTGCATAGACATCTCACCCAATCGCTAGTCAGCTGACATTTATCTGCTGCCATTTGATGCTTTTCTTGTAATGAAACCCAAAAGGCAAAAAGCCACATCACTTCCATAATATTTCATTTTTGAAAGTGTTTTCTTCATTCTAATTAGATTCTGCAGTCTTGACATTCCGAGAATTCAGCTTAAAATGGAATTACTGTTTGTCCTAGTACACATACAAATCTTATCTTTGCTACAAAAAATCTATTGCAGAATAAATCAAAATTTGTTATGGATACAGCATATTTCATAATGCCATTATTGTTTCCAACACCCTTGCAGTGAAAAAAACAAACCAAAACCCCTCAGTGTGAAAGAAAAATTAAGAAAGGAAGCCTATTCAAAAGAAGAAATACCAACATCAGTAGCACAAACAAACAATACCCTTTTTGGCTCCCAACAAGACAACAGTGCAGCCGCACATTCCTTCTACTCAATCATCAATAATATAACTGCTTATTAAAACCAGGAATACCATTAAGGAGCCTGATCCCTGTCAAGGGTTTTTTTAAAGGCTGGAGATGGAAGGGGAGAAAGAGAGAGAGGGTGGGGAGTGTTAAATCACAGCGGCAGAGAAAGGGAAGGTGGCAGGGCGAGCTTGGGAGGGCTGATCGGGGCTGCGGAGGGTGGTGCCCCGGGCTCCGGCCTTGATGCTGCAGGAGTGGAACGAGCCGCTCCGGCTCCAAGGCAGCAAATGCAGCCTCGGAAGGGGGCTGGGGGTGTTCTGGGGAAGGAGGGATGCCAGTGTCCTGTCCTGGGTGGGGGGCAAGATCGGGGAAAGGGCTGCTGGATTTGCTGGATCCCAAGCTCGGCCAGAACCAGAGTCATTCCTTTCCCTCTGTGGGAGCAGCATTAGCTGCTGTGATGATTTGGAAGGAAAGAGAATGAAATTAAATGAACGGATGAATTTATTTCATTGGTATCATGCCCCATAGCCAGAAGGCTCTCTGGGTGGCTCACAGTGCGATCATAAACAATAATAAAGATAAACATAGAAAATACAGATTAAAATCGATGACATGGAATGCAAAGGCCATGATAACGGGTGAAAATGCAGCTTACTGCCAAAGAGGAAATGTGCTGGCAGCAGCTGGGGCTGTGAGTTCCTTGGGAAAGGTCCCCGTTGCATCGGCCCCCATCAAATGGTGCTACTTGCCTGCGTAGGTTGGCGCCCCCTTGGCACACACCTGGCACTTAGCGCAGATGTGAGCTCGTTCATTTTCCAACGGAGTCCCCACAGAGACGGGCAGATGGGGTGGAGGGTCGCCAGCCCTTCCGCCTGGTGCAAAATTTCGCGTTTTCTGTCAGGGCCAGACTCTCTGCTGCTTACTCTCTCTTCTTTGAATCTTTTGCAGTCGTCTGTCTGTGCCAAAATAGTCCAACTGCTGGGACAAAATGAAGTAGACCATCGTCAGAAGCAGGTTGTCATTCTGAGCCAGGACAGCTTCTACCGTGTTCTCACCACGGAGCAGAAGGCCAGAGCTCTCAAGGGCCAGTTCAACTTTGATCACCCAGGTACGCGTCACGGAGGCTGGGAAGGGATCGCCACGATTCTTCAGCCTCAGCTTCCGCTACCCAGAAGGAAACTTGGGAATCTGGAAGGTCGTTGTGCAACAGCCTGCCTTTCTCAAGGGGGAAACAGTGGGCCGCCCCCTGGGCTTCCCCATGAGCATATGAAGTCCTTCCCTGAGCTTGTAGACTGTGGGTGTCATTAATGGCCTTAGAGCAGGACCTGATCCACAACAAATATAAAACCGGAACAAAAGTACGGTGTCAAAAAGCATTTTAAAAATTTAGAAATCTGAAACAGAGCCAAAATGACAACCTGCAAAGGCCGCAGCTGGGGAAATCAGCAGAAAGCCTCCCTGGGAATCCTCCTCAAGATCAGGCCCTGATGAGCCCAGAGCTCCCTGGGGAAGGCGCTCGCTGGCGTGCGAGGCTAAGCCAGGCAGGCCCCGCCACTCCTGCCCATCCAGCAAGCTTCCCAGCGCAGCGGGAGGGCCTTCGGTGCAAGTCTGATAGTACCAGACGGAAACGATGTGAGCGCTCGGTGGCACAACCCGATTCACCAGCCGGCACGGTTTGGCTCCTGCTGGCAGGGCCTGCCCCTGTGCCTGGCGCTGGTGGGAGGCACTGCCGCTCGCCAGCGATCTCTGCCTCCTCCCAGGCTTCAGGGCAGCAGGGTGGGCGGGCGTAACTGAGGCACATGGAGCCCCCCCACCCTGTGGGGCCAGCCTGGCTTCCGCTGCTGCTCCGGCGGGCTCCAGGCGCAGCGGCTCCCTTGGCAGGCCCCCTTGCTGCAGAGGAGGGGGCATGGAGCTGCCCCGGCCACAGCTGCCTGGTGTGGCAGGAGCGGCAGGCTTGGGACTGCGGTGCTTGGCTCAGCTATCGGAACGGGGCTTGCGGGCCGAGAAGTCTGCCTCAGTGCCGGGGCTCTTCCATGGCGGGAGCCGGAGCCATTCCATCCTTTCTGCCTCCTCCCCGCAGATGCCTTTGACAATGAGCTGATTGTCCAGACCATCAGGGAGATCGTGGAGGGGAAGACGGTGCAGATCCCTGTGTACGACTTTGTCTCCCACTCTCGGTGAGTCCGCGTCTTTCCTTCCTTGCTCTCTCCCCAGGGTAAGCCCTTGGCAGCCACGCAGATGCACCCCCGCAAGGCGGCTTCCTCCTGCGAGCGGCAGCAGGCGTGCCGCAGACGCCGCTCCACGCGGCACCCTCTCGAGACGCAGCGGAAGACCCGGGGGGGCCGGCGTCGTAGGTCAGATTCGGGAGTTCTACACAATTTTTTGTCTGTCTGTCTAAAACAGTAGATTTCATCCCTGGAACATCTTAGATCACTAGAGAGATGCTGGCTTGCAATTCGTGGTACTCCAAGCTCTGACTGATGGAGAGTGGAAACCAGATTATGCTACTGTACTCATCTTTCCCTCTTCTTGGAATTGGGCTGGTCAGATGCGACAGCCTCATTCTTTCTTGGCAGATGGAGTGTCTGGGGATTTATCGGGTTTGGGAACAGAGGAACAGTCTACTACATGTTGTTTTATTTGTTATATAATTGCTTCTCCCTCCTTCCAAAGTAGGTTAAATAGAGTAAAACTAAATTGACCCCACTTTCAAAACAAGGGACTAACTTACTAAAAATAGTAAGTCCACAATGGACTCAAATCTTTGTGTTCACTTTCTAATAACTCTTAGCCATGGATTTTGTAATGGATTGGCTTTTCTTAAATTGGACAGATTGTGTGCACTTCTTGCCCAGTTGCTCTACTTTCCATAATTATATGCAAATGTAATCATAGAAAATTACCACCACCCAATCAAAAATATGCATTTCTCCACAAAGATTAAATATAAAAATGTGTACTCTGGGGGAACTGTATATTTGGTGAGTGGGATCAGTATGAATTTTCACAAATGCGTACGAATGGATTTGTGCAAATCTGATTCTATCAGTTAATAGATGATGGAATTAAAAGCATCCGATTCCATCAATGAATTGATGGTGGAACAAACAGTATCTGAAGATCTCCTGGATTTCGCAAAATCTATACATCCGTGTTTTGTCAGAACTGCTTTTTGGAGTTTGTATCTACACTGGAATCTTTCCTGTGCGTCTTAACAGCAAAGAGGAGACCGTGACTGTGTATCCTGCTGATGTCGTGCTCTTTGAGGGCATCCTGGCCTTCTACAACCAGGAGGTGCGGGACCTTTTCCAGATGAAGCTCTTTGTGGACACAGATGCAGATACCCGGCTGTCCCGCAGGGGTACGCTCTGGACTGTCCCCTCCTGCCGGGGGCGGGGGGGGGGGGCTCTTTCTCCCAGCCAGTCCCAGGAGGAAAAACGGGGGAGGTGGCAGACTTCGGCTACACGTGGCTTGTGCCAGCTGGGCCACGCAGAAGGCCGCTAGGGTCTCCTTACGCCCTGCTCATGTGTAGCTGTGGGGCAGCACACAGGAAGAGGACAAAGGTTAAGGAATTAAAAAAAGAATGAAGTCAAACGTTGAAAACAGGTTTGCACACTGAGAAGTGCGTGAATAAGTCTGAAAAAGTTAATAAATGGCAGCCACTTTCCTACAGATTTATCATGATTTCCTTTGACCCTGGCCAAGGCCCATATTCTTGGACCCTCCAAGTTTTCCGCATGGATGCTGTTGCCAGCTGCCTCCAGCATTTCATGCAGGGCTTCCCAGCTGGCATGACCCTGAGTCACCATTTGTCAGATTTGCCCCTTACTTATTCATGTATGTGCCACCAACAGCCAAAGCTTGTTCAGCGCTCTTCTTGTGCAAGTCAAAAGCGCAGGCGGCCGATCTGCCGGAGCCGCTGCTGCCCGCTCGGGTGGGCAGCATGCACCTGGTGCAGGGTGCTTGGAAAGGCCCCCCAGGCTGTGGAGGGGGTGGCCGTCTGTGCTGGCTTTCTTGGCACACAGCCGGCCCCTTCTGCTGCCAGGAACAGCGATGGCACACATGAATATGGAGCCTCCCTCCCACCATCCTTGCTTCCTTCTGCTCCCAACTCACCTTTCTCCAGAAGTGGCTCCGGACTGTGGAAGGCCTGCCAGAAAGGTGCCGGGGCTTTGCTGCACAGGCAGATCCACGGTACAGTCAGATGATGTGGGCCAGGGAGGGACGTCAAAGCCTCTGCTGAGTGTGGGTGTCCCAGCTCCAGAAGGCCGCGAGAGCCCCGAGGCCGGGCCAGACCGGAGGCCTCCTTGGCCACGTTCTGTTCCCGTGGTGGCCAGCCACGGGGAGCCGTCAGGATTGCAGCGAGGCGCTCCCCGACTGCCGCATCCCAGCGGTTGGCATGGGGAGGCTTCCTGCCTCGGAGCCCTCTGACTGAGCCGGCGTGGGCACCACACTCGCCTCACATGGGGCGAGCCCCCCTCCAGCCTCCCCCGGCTCGGCTGTGCTTGGCCACTGTGCGTACCCGGGTCCCCTCCTCAGCGTGTCAGGCTCCCAGCCCGCCTCTGCACAGGACACCCCCTCCCCGGGCCTCCCTCTGGGGCTGGAGCCTTCCTCGGGCCAGGAGGAAAGCCCAGGCTGCTCGGGACCCTGCGTGGGCCTGGCCCCAGCCCTGCGCTGGCCGCCCGGCTGTCGCTCACCTGCCCCTGGTCTCTCCTCCCCGCAGTTCTCCGTGACATCAGCGAGCGAGGCAGGGACCTCGAGCAAATCTTACTGCAGTATATCGCCTTTGTCAAGCCAGCCTTTGAAGAATTCTGCTTGCCTGTGAGTAGCGACTCACCCACTGGGGAGAGGAGGGAGCCGGGGAGAGCCCTCGGCTGCCTCTCCCAAAGTAGAGGGCTGGGCAACTACTTGTGTGACAGCGTCCCTCCCTCCCTGTCTTTCTGGCAGACCAAGAAGTACGCGGATGTGATTATCCCAAGGGGAGTGGATAATCTCGGTGAGTAGATGCACCAAGCGGGGAGGTAGAGCATTCAGAGGTGGAGGCTGTGATCCCTCTGAGCTGACTGTGCTCCTGGATCCTTGCACGGAAGGAGGGAATAACTGGATGTGGTGCAGAAGGCAAGCGTTTTTAAGCCAGTGGATGCGACTTGTTCTTGCTGGCATGAGGACTTGACATCTGATGGTTCGACATGCTCAGCCTCACTCCATCAGTTGCCCTCCTTAAATGCTGCCTGTCAAGCCTCATAAAGTTGGAGGACTGAACTTGGCTCGGAGGTGTTAGAGAAGAGGCCGTGCCCCCTGCAGGGAGTTGAAGAGGACGTGGTCAAGCAGGACACGGCCAGGGAAGGCGGCAGTGGCGAGGGGCCCAGAGACCGAGCTGCATGAGGAGGGGCTGAGGGCGGTGTGGGGAGGAGGATTGGAAGCGATAGCAAAATTTGGAGGGCCGTCTCAGAGCCAGTGGAGCATTTTTTTTCTCTTCCTTCAGAGAGTGGGACCTAAACCAAGGCTCTCAAATTACAAGGCAAAGGAGCGGATTTTCCTGGGGGAGAGGAATCCTCCTCTGGAGGTGCTTAAGCCGAGTGCGGTTTTGCAGTGCTACAGAAGGGGGCTTCCTGCTTCTAGGGCACCCCTTGCGGCTCGGCCCAAAGGTGCTTCCGGGCCTAGTCTTGCCCACAGCTGTCTGACGGACTCAGAAAGGGTGGCCAGCCCATTAACTGTTGTCCTTAAATCAGAGCCCTTGAAGTCCAGGAAGCCTTCGCTTTTTCTTTTTCTTTTTCTTTTTCTTGTGGCTTGCCCTCCAAATGCAAGAAGTGCATTTGGCTCCCGTGGCTGTTCGTAGAGCAGGTGGATTGGGGTGGCAGTGGTACGAGAGCTTTGGTTTTGGAAGCTGGAGAGCAGCGCAGTGATTGTGGCAGGTGTGCACAAGGGCTTTCTGCCTGGCTCGGCTCAGCCCAGCTCTGGAGAATGCCCCCTACTCCGTTTCCTCACGCTGGGCAGCCACAACTAGACGTGAAGTGTGTTGCTGGGAGAAAAGTTTCCACCTGGAACTTGAAGCCAGTTTGACTTCCAGAGTCAGGAAGCCCTCCCACTATGGGATGGTTCTCCCGCTAGTCCGAGGCAGCTTTGCTAATAGTGGAGAACGATAGGCGTTGCAGCCTGCCGCCATCTGCGGGGCCAGAAATGTCGCCCCTTTTCCACTAGCAAATAGCTGGGTAAGGAAGCTGCAGTAAGGGAAGAAGGGAGCTTTTGGGTGCTGCGATGTGGTGGGAGAATGAACAAGCGCTGGCAGAGCGTGGGGTGAGCCGCTGGGGGGGGCGTGGGGGCAGGGGCCGCCAGGCAGCCCCAGCAGTGCAGCCCACCCTGGTGGAGCGAGGCTGCGGCGGCGTGTTGGGATCGCTGTGGACAAGGCTTCCTCCTCCTCTCCCCGCAGTCGCCATCAACCTGATCGTGCAGCACATCCAGGACATCCTGAGCGGCGGCCCCAGCAAGCGCCAGCCCAGCGGCTGCCCGAACGGCCACGCCGCCCCCCGCCACCGACGGCGCTCGGAGTCCAGCAGCCGGCCGCACTGACCGTGCGCTCGTGGGGAGGCCCCGCTGCCGCCCCCCCCCCCCCCCCCCGCCCCCCCCCGCGCCCCCCCCCCCCCTAAGCCCCCCACCCCCCGCCCCGCCCCGCCCCCCCCCCCCCCCCCCCGGGGGGCGCGGGGGCCCCCGCCCCCGCCCCCCCGCCCGGGGCCCGGGGGGGGGGCCCCCCCCCCCCCCCCCCCCCCCCGTGCTGCAACCGCTCGAGCCCACCCTACGCTTAAGGCCACAATTCCCTGCGGAGCGCCGTGACTCGCCCTCCGTCTGCTGGGGGAGCGTTGCCTCCTGCAGCGGCTCTGCTGCGAGCTCCCGCGGGCGCGGAGGAGGAGGAGGCCCCTTCCGCCCGGGCACGGAGGTGTTCCGGGTCTCACCCGGGCAAGAGAGCCGGGTGGGCCTGTGGCAGCACGGCCGGGCGGACTGCTGGGCCTGTGCCGGGGCCGGGGAGGAGGCAGCGCGCAGGGGCCGGGAGGGCCTCGCTCTCAGGCGTGCGCTCGCTGCCGAGGCTGCTGGGCGGGGTGGGCCACGCTTCCTCGCGCACCTGCTGCTGCCAAGTGCGCGCACCGTTTGTTTAGTCTGACTAGGGAACTGTCAGAGGCAGCCTGGAAGAGGAGCGGCCGACGCACTGGAGATGCACCACGGTGCTGCTGCCCCCCCCCCCCCCCCCCCGCACTGCCATGAATCGGCGTCTGAGAGCTGCCCTGCCTCGTGGCCCCCGGCCCTGGCTTGGCGACAGCCAGGCTGCACCCGTCCAGAGTGCTGCCTGGACGGGCCTTTCCTGGGGCTCCGCACACTGGTCATGAGACGCTCTGCCTTCCTGGCGTTCCTGAGCCGGCCAGGAGCCGGGTGACCCGCTGGTGGCCTTGCCCCGGAACGGCTGCGTGTCTCTGGGTAGTGCAAAATGCCAGAGGGGCTGAGCTGCACCCCAGCCAGGCGTGCAGCCAGGGAGCTGGGCTGTGTGGCCTTGGGCTGAGGGGCCGATGCCGCGCACTGCTGAGCACTGGGAGGGGGTCCGGGGGCACCGTCGCTGCAGGTGCTGCGCGAGGGGTGGCAAGCGGGGTGCTTGCGCACGCAGCTGGCTCCCGGGGCCGGGGCCCGTCCTCCCTCCTGAAGCTGCCATTCAGCTGATGCGAGGCCTGTGGGAGAAGGCTGTTCCTCCTCTGTTTTGGGGCTGACCTCTGCGGATTGGCAAGCCGAGGCTGAACGGTCATGATTCCGCCCCCGCCCCTGAACTGCCTGCCCCGGCTTCAGCCAGACACGCCGATCTGTCACGCTGCACGGCTGGCAGTCCCCTCGGCCACTGAAGAGGAGAGGGGAGGAGAGTTGCCCAGGGCCCTCCTGCTTTGCCCGCCAGCCCAGGGGCCTCTTCCTCCAGGGCAGATGCTGTGCATGGCGGGGCGGGAGAACTCGGGGAGGTCTGTGCTCTTTCCACGGCCATTGCTTTCAATATGTGATCTTAATAAAGGTGACATGAAAAGTTTGCTCTTGTTACATTGCATTGAAATCCTACCTTTTTTCTCCCGTGAGGAATGCCCGGCGGCTGGCATAGCTCCGTTTCGCCCTCATAGCAACAGTGCTGAGAGGGAGTGGCCGGCCCAGAGTCATCCATGGCCAAGGAGGGCCCAAGCCGATTAGAAGCCAGATCTCCTGGGCCCAGTTCAGCAGGAAGCACCCCATCACGCTGGTCTTTTAAAAACTTTGGTTGTGCTAGCAGGACTGCAGCTAGTCTTGGTGTGTCAGATACAACCTGCAGAAGCAGGATGGAAGCTCAGGATTGACAGGCGTCGTCAAGGACCATCCAACTGGGTGGGATGAGTTCAGATCTCCCAGCCCAGTGAACTCACTCATAAAGGAGCTGGTGGAGGAACCACTCGGAAACACTTTCCATCATCCTTGAGAAATCATGGGGGACGGGGAAGTGCCACTTGGCTGGAGAGGGGCTGGTGTTCTCCCTGTCGCCAAGAAAGGGAAAAGGAACAACCTGGGAGCTCCAGGCCAGCCAGCCTGGCATCGGTCGATCTGGAAACACCTGCAGACCGCAAGCACCATCTGAAAACAATGCAGTGGTTACTAGAAGTCAACATGGATTTCTTGAGAGCCAAATTAATCCTTTTTTTTTTTTTTTTTTAATTGGGTAGCCTCCCTGGTGGATTGTGCGAATGCTGTGGGCACCATCTGTCTTGACTTCAAGCCAAGTGCCCAACAAAGTGCCCCACGATACTGCGATGAGCAAACTAGCTCGAAGGGGGCTAGACGGACAAACTCTCAGGTGGATCCACAGTGGATTACAGACTTGGATCCAAAGAGTGCTCATCAATGGCACTTTCTCAGACTGGGGCGAGGGAACATTGGGGTACTGCAGGGCTCAGTGCTGGGCCCAGGACTCTGCAACATTTTTATTAGATTTAGATGAAGTGTGGGGGCGCTTATCAAATTTGCAGTTGACACAGAACAGGGTGGGGTGGCGAATACCCTGGCAGAAGATTCAAGGTGGTCCTGGTAGGGTGGAGAGCTGGGCTGAGAACCACTGGATGGAATTCAGCAGGGCAAATGCCAAGTGCTGCACCTCGGAGAAGGGAGCCAACGGCCCCGCTAGCAGCTCGGCGAGTGAGAAGCATCTTGGAATCGTGTCTCAAGCTGAATACGAGTCAACAATGTGATGTGGCTACTACAGGGGCAAATGCTATTTTGTGCTGCAATAATAGAAGTAGCATTTCCAAATCACGTGAGGTACTAGTTCCCCTCTACTCGGTGCTGGTTAGGTCTCCTCTGGAGTTCTGCATCCAGTTCTGGGCACCACAAAGATGCAGACATGCTGGAAAGGGGTCAGAAGAGGGCAGCAAAGATAATCCGGGGATTGGAAACAAAGCCCTCTGAGGAGATACGCAGCAGCAGCAGCATACAAAAGCAACCTCACAAACCTGTGATAAGTCTGTGGTTAGGACTAGCCAAGCCACTCAAAACCACATCAGTCGAGCAGCGAACGGCCAGTTGGACCTCCCTGGGCAAGAGAGCCCGTGGTCCAGGCACCAGAGGAGTCCTGCTGGCTCAGCCCGAGGTGCCACCCGGCCTGGCACTCCGTGCACACAGCGCAAACCAGCTGCCCTCCGGGTGCCCGGGTGGGAAGTGTGCGGGAGCTCCTGCCCGGCTCCTCGGCCACCGCCGTGCACAGGCAGGCAGGCCACCCCGGGAAGGAGGACGCCGCAGCAGCAGGCCTCGTGGCCACTGGTAGCCGCCTCCCTCGAGGAGCCGCCCATTGCTCTTGCAAGCGGTCCAGGCTGGCGCCGCCACCACTTCCAGCAGCAGTGAAGGCCATGGGCTGCGCAGAGAGCCCTTCCTCTGCTCTGCCCGAAACCTCCCCCAGGCCGCTCCGTGGGGGACCTCGCTGGGTCGGGTGCTGTGGGGGAGGGACAAAGCGGGGCTCCCCTCCGCACGAGTCACGTGTTCCCCAGGAAAGGGCCCGTTCAGGTCGTTCGAGGTGGGCTTGGAGGGGACCTCGCTCCCGGACCGAGGCTGCGGAGCCCAGCTGAGCTGGCGCAGTGGCAGCTGCATGCTTCAGAGGGCAGGGCTGGGCCCAGTCTGCACGGCGTCCAGACGCTGATCTGGGTGGCGCCTGCTTGGGCAGCCCGGGGTCATGCTGCCTTCCACCCCCAACGCTGCGGCCGGAGCACGGCACTCGCTCACTCGCCCGGCCAGCTGTCCCGCCCGTCAGGCATGCACTGCCCAGTCCCAGATCGCCCGTGCCTGGCCGGGCGGAGCCGCCGCACACTTGCCGGGCACGTAGCCCATCTGCAGCACGATGGATCCACGCGGTGCCTGCCGTGGCCTCTTGTCGGCCGTGCGGTTTCCCCCCGGCAGCAGGACTGCGTCGGGGGCCTCGGAAACGCCCTGGATGGCCGGCCGTTGCCGCTGAGCCCGCATGAAGGTGCTTGCAGAAATCGCACTCGCCCGATTGCCCACGGCCCGGCCGGGGACAAAGCGCCCCCCCCCCCACACACCTGTGCCTGCACAGTCACACGCCAGCTTACGGATTCTTCTCTTGCCTTGCAAAAAATGGTTGAGCCTGCGTCACAATTCGTTTTGTGAAATTTTCATTTTCTTAAGCATTTAAAAAAATCTTGACTGGTTCCTATGCAGCGTGTGTCCTTTACCCTTAAAACCTGTATCATGGGGGAAACAGCAACCTGAAATGTAAAAAACCAAGCCAAGAGGGCAGCTCTGGGAGCACGTGCAGGTTGGATGCTGAGTCAGAAGCCAAAGGGTCCCGGGATGCCGCAGAACTGAGTTAATCAGGAGAAGGGCAGAGAAGCTGGGAGGCCCCCGGAGCGACTCACCTGGCCAGTCCTTTGGCTGGCTGTGGCACGGACTGAAGTCGAATCCAGAGCTTTATAACTACCCCACCGCCCCCCCCCCCCCCCCCCCCACAAAAAAAGCAGCACTCTTCTGTTTGCAATACATCATGTATTTAACCATTTCTTAACATTCCAGAGAAGTGGAATGCAATGTTGATGGAGCTTTTGTAAAATCCAGAAATAAAGAGCGAAGATCCCCACCCAACCGTTCAAGTCAGTGTTGTTTTAAGGCACTCTGCAAAACCAACGTTCCTCTCGTTTCTTTCCTTCCAGGCTTTTTCTAATGGCAGAATACTGATTTTCCCTCCCCAAAATGACTTCTACATGCTCCAGTTCCATTCAACATCTCTAGAAACTGGTAGCATCTACAATGTGAGTAGAAACAAAACATCCCAAGTGAGGACGGGGGAGGGTGTCGGAGGGGCACAGATGAGGAGAACAGTGGGCTGAAGGGACAGATGCCACGCTCGCCTCCTCCCTTCCCAGGCTTAAGCAGGACGTCTGCTCCAAGCAGCTAATCGTGCTGCAAAGGGAGAACGGAAGGCAAGGTGGACGCTTCAGACAGGAAGCCGCCTAGAGGAGGGTGCTCGCCCTGCCCAGCCGCCCCGCGTGTGGCCATCCTGTTCCAGTGGAAGCACCCCAGCGTCACTGGAAAGGCT